AAAAAAAAAAAAAAAAGAAAAAGACTGGAGCTTAAAAGTGTCAACTTTTAAGTAATTAGGAAGTATTACCCTATGATAATTCCCTTAAGCAAATAATCTTCAATGTGGGTTTTGGAAAATCCAGCTGCTATATAGGATCAAAACATCAGACATAGGAAAATAATATTTGACATATCATTTTTATGAATCATCTCTTTAAAGCAATATTTTATGTATGTTTTATAATTAAATGATAAATTCGTACAGTGTGTGTTATATATATATATATGTCACATACATTTCTTCATGCATGTGCAATGCATGCAGAATCAACAAAGTTTGGAGACAAATGATTGCTACATTAATAAAGAAAAATAAGATGAGTGTATGTCTTAAGTTTATACTAAAATTTGGGGCTATAATTATTTAGGTGATTTTTAATTTTTAAAAAATTTGGGTGCGCAGATCTGTAAAGACCTTGCAGGTGGGGCTATTTTAGCTCGTGTGGTACCAACGGCCACTCATGATCCTGTCTCTCTTTTTCATTCGCTGAAGCACTCCATGAAGGAGTGGAGATCGAGTCCCTTATGCCCCCTCATAGCATAGCTTGGGATAAAAACATCTGTAAGTTGCAGAGTGGTCTCTTACTTATTTCTGTCTCTCCGGTTGTCATTGTTTTAGTACAGGCAGAGCAACCAGTTTAAGGTGATATTGTCCCGTTTAGAATAATTCCCTCTCCATTAGGAGATTTTGATGACAAAAGTACTCTCCGGCGAAGGATGCCAATAAGCCGTGCCGTTGTATACAGGACGACAGAGTGGCATCCTGAAATAACCTGTGTATGAGGGACACCGGGACCCCTGGTTGGGAGCACAGGATCCAGGGCCCGGCGGCCTGGGTTCTCCCTGGTCTGCCGTTTCCTCCGGGCTGTCTGCGCCATCTGTGAAAGCACTGGCACTGGGCTGTTAGGGGAGAACGATGGATTAGTGTTTCATGGCAGGCAGTAGTTATTAAACAACAAATACGTGAAATACGCGACTGCATTTCATTAGTGAGACTCCCAGTCTGGCAATGCTGCACGTAATCTGGGGAGGGCCTGAAATCCATTTTATTCATCTTCTTTTGTCTCCTAGAGCTGCTCTGGCTCTAACGCAGCTGCTTACCGATCTCCAGCATTCCCTGCTTAGTGTCTGTTTCTGGCAACCATAACTGTTTTAACTTTCCCATTTCCTCTCCATCTTCTGCACTGTTACAAGGAATGAATTTAGAAAATGTAACAGTGAACATAGTATCTCCTTGCTCACATTTCTCTAGGGCATCTCCATCACCGTCAAACCCCTGGAACATCACACAGAGGCTTTGGCACCCCTTGCCCTCTCCCAACACTTCTCTGCAGCCTCTGCTGGACCACACAGGCGCAGCAGCGAGGATGCCCTTTCCAGCTCTGTCCTCCTGCATCACAGGACCTTGTGCATTTTCACGCTTCCACCTCTTTACTCATTTTTTCCCTCTTGATTAAAAGGATTTTGCTTCTCTAATCATCGTTTCATAATTTATTTTTAAAACAAACCACACATAGTTTCTATCTATGAATCCTCCTTAACACCCCTCCCTCAAGATTATCTAATTCCTCTCCCTCTGTTGCTCCCATATCAGATACCATATTGCATCTCGTTTATATACGTACTTTTAAAGCAAGTACAAATACTCTGAGGTCAGGAACTGTTATCTGGTTCGTGTCTGAGTCTCTGTTAATGTTACACTGTGTTTGCAAAATTAATGAATGCGTGGGATTTTAAATGTATTTTCATGTGCACCAGTTGAATTTTCATAATAGAATATATGCAATATCTGTAGCCCCTGGAAGGGGTACTTTAATTTCGATTTGTCCTTAGCTCTCTGCTGTTTTCTTCAAACAGCTATTTATGGGACGTGTATGTGTGTCTTTCATTCTAACACAAAGCCTCCTCGTTAAACACAAAGCCTCTTCATTCTTTATTTTCTATAACCCTTACCCTATCAGGATGCAAAAGTGAGCTCAAAGGCTGTCTTCTGTTTGCCAGACAACTATTTAATAATTAGAGGACATTTTACACATTACTTGAGTGAATGCTAGCTTTGGCTAGAGCAGAACTGTGCTGAGAAAACCCTCAGAGCTGTTTCAGTTCCTCAAACTTTCTCTGGATGATCTTTTGTAACTCTTTGATGTGTAACAATAATGCATTTCTGGGCTCTCAGGGAAAAACACCCTCTCATCCTACAGTTGAAACAGTGTATTATTTGTGATTATCAGCTATTCCATTACACTTCTGGGAAAAAATTGGCCCGGAATGTACTGTACATCGAAAAATCAGCAAATGTGCTCAATTATGGTCACTTGGCTTTGATGTATTATTTTATATTCCCTCTTCTCCCCATGCCCCTCCAGAGCGTCTCTCTGTTGGTCCCCAGCCATGATCACACTGTAAGCAGGAGACACTTCTCTGTGTGAAAACATAGAAAAATTATGTTCTATATTAAGGAAAGTATAATCTACTTGTGCTGAAAGATTTTTGTCCTCTAGACATATCCTCGTGAATTATACTCTGGAATAGATTAATCAGCATGATTTAATAAGCACCTGCTGTGTGCTGCTGCCACAAATGAGGAAAAAAGGCTGTCCTTGCTCCTGAAAATGTTTCTGTTTTTCCTAAAAATACATCATAACTTTTCTAAAATAATTTCAGACTAATATAAGATTGTATGAGATAGAGGTCAAAATGGCACAAACGTGGGATAATTTTAACTAAAGCCACCAAGTCTCACCACATGGGATAAAGCAGTTTAAAGGAAGAGTCATCTTTGGAGGCTGCAGTATATAAATATATTCCCATCAATATTATGGAGTATTCCTTTAAAATAATCAATTACTAGCAATCCCCATGGAAAAGTATATTCCAAGAGAAAGTCGGGTATTATTTGCCTGGGATATTACCCTCTTAAATACGAAGGATAGATTCTGCATATGAGTGAGATCATGTGGTATTTGTCTTTCTGTGCCTGGCTTATTTCACTTAGCAAAATATTCTCCAGGCTCATTCATGTTTTTGCACACAATGGAGTTCCATTATTTATTATGGCTGAATAGTGTTCCTTTGTGTGTATATATATATATATATATATATACCACATTTTCTTTATTCATTCATCCATTGGTGGGCATTTAGGTTGATTCCATGTCTTGGCTATTGTGAATAGTGCTGCAATAAACATGGGCATGCAGATGTCTCTTCAACATACTGATTTCATTTCCTCTGGATATGTACCCAGTAATGGGACTGCTGGATCATAGGGTAGATCAATTTTTAATTTTTTGAGGAACCTCCATACTGTTTTCCATAATGGCTATACTAATTTACACTCACACGAACAGTGTGTAAAAGTTCTCCTTTCTCCACGTCCTCTCAAGTATTTGTTATTTTTTGACATTTTGATAACAGCCATTCTAACTGGAGTGAGGTGCTATCTCATTGTAATTTTGATTTGTGTTTCCATAATGGTTAGTGATGTCAAAGTTGAGAGTAGAATAGTGGCTACCAGACACTGAGAATGGGGACAGAGGAGGTGGGAGAGGTTGGTTAATAGGTACAGTGTTGCAGTTATGATAGGAGGAGTAAGTTCTGCTATTCTCTTATACAGTAGGTGACTATAACTAGCAGTATGCGTTGCATATCACAAATAGCTAGAAGAGAAGAGTCTGAATGTTCTCACAACAAAGAAATGGTACATGTTTAAGGTGATGAATATGCTAATTACCATATTGGATCATTATACAATGTATTCATGTATGAAGGCATCACACTGTACCCCATGAATACATACAATCACTATGCATCCATTTAAATAAATAAATAAATACTAAAGATAAATACGAATCTCTATGCATTTGTCCAATAAGTTAAGAATGGCTCAATAATTATTAAATGAAAATGTCTTTTCCAAAGCAGTCATTATTCCTGCTACCTTTTTGGTGCAGAATAAGAGCCAAAGATTATATTCCATGGCAAATAATATTTCCGTTTGTACCTGTGACAAATGGGAATGGTGAGTGCACCAACTAGAGAGAATATGTATTCTTATCTGGTTAAATGTTATAATACCAATATGCTTTGAGGGCGACAAGACTCGTGGACTTCTTCAGTGATTACTAAGGTGCCGCTTTAAAGTTATATAGCACAAGTTCAGAAATTTTTACAGTCTATTTTCACAATTCCCAAAAGTATCTAAAGCAAAATCATTGGACTAGGAATCAAAAATCTTGGATCTTTAATTGGGCTGTGTTTTTAACTAACTGTGTTAAAATAGGTAGCTTACTTCACCTCCGTTTCCTCGTTTTCTCCTGGGTATTAAGTGTGTGTGTGCGTGTTAATGCATGTGTGTGCATGCATGTGTGTGCGTGTTCATGTGTGTATGCGTGCATGTATGTGTGTGTGTGTTGGCAACTAGAAACGATGAAATAGTGGAGTTTAGAGTCAGCTGGGGTGGCAGAGGGAGGAATGGAGAGATGAGGGTAAATGGTATATCTTGGGAGTGATAAAAATGTCCTAGAACTGATTCTAGTGATGTTGTACAACTCTGAATATACTAAAAATTGTGAATGTATACTTTAAAGGATTGGGTTGTAGAATGTAAATTATATTTTGATAAAGCTATTCACTTTTTATATTTTTATGATAAGTATTAAACAAAGCTTTCATTATTCTTGAAATATAGTACATAGGCTATACTCCTTTACTTTCCGAATCTTCATGTGGATTTTCTGAAAAAGATTGTGATCTGGAAGTCCACTTTACTAGAAGTGGTTATCCTTTTTCTCTGCACCTATATTAAATATTAAATTTCAGGCTCATCAGAATATGTTGTTCCCAGCTCTCAAATGTTATTCATCATGTTTTACTGTAAATAGCCCATCAAATTATAATCTATAAACTAAGTATATTTTTTCTCTGTTTTGCTTTTGTGTTTTTGTCTGAAGACAAAGACAGGGACTTGTTTGCTGCAGGATGGTAATCAGGAGCCTTTCAAAGTCCGGCTGCACCTAGCCAAAGACATTTTGATGATCCAGGAGCAGGATGTGATATGTGTGTCTGGTGAGCCTTTCTATTCCGGTGTAAGTAGCTATTCTTTTTTGTTGAAGCATTTTGGTTTTGTCTTTTGTTAATAAAAATGCACATTCACAGAAAACTCTTAATATATTTTCTTTTATTTTTAGAACCTAGTCAATGGTACTGCATGTCATTTTTGTTGGCAACATTAAGTAAGCAGTGTTCCTATATAAGGACCTTGCCTGGTCCACAAGTATGTACATTTAGGGCCCATCTCCAGCTCTGTGTCTCTTGATTCCCAGATGTTGTTATGTGAAGGGAGTGACACTGTGTTTTCTGATCATGAGAGAATGCGTTGTATCTTTTCTCACAGAGGGCTAATTGAGAACTGTGCATGAGAGTGTCCCCTGCCCTGGTCTTGTCTTGCATCACCTCGAACCATCGGAGGTGGTGCCGCGGTGGAAGGCATTCTTCAGAATCAGTGAAGCAGGAGGCTTGAGGCAGTGGTCACTGAACCCAGTGTGAAAGATTTCTCCCTGGGATAGCGCCTGAATGATTCTGTGACTTCTTTACTAGAATTATGCCTAAGTGTTGTAGCAAGTTCCTCAGTACCATACTCTAACCCACTGATGCATGAGACTGCTGATAATCCAGCCTCAGAAAGAGCCATAAATTATCACACAAAACCAGTTGTTGTACTTACTCGCGCCAAAGCAGCGCAGCTGTGGAAGACATCCTGAGGTGAGATCAGATTTTATTCGACAAAAAGATATTATCATAAAACAGGACAAGTTTTGGAGTTTATCATTTACTGTGTGATATTGGTAAAGGCGTCATCTTAACAGTGTTGACATATGTGATCTCAAGAGAAAATTACAGAAAGCGTCAAACAGTCTGCTCTCTGGTTTCCCCAGACATCTGCAGCTATTTAGCATGAAGATTTAATTTATACCTATTAACAGACTTACCTTAAAGTGTTTAGTTAGTGGTGAATAATGCTGAACTTGAGTTTTCACATCACTTCTTACGAACACCCTATGGGAGTCACACGAGGTCCTAAATCAATAGGCCTTTGCTAACTGAAGATAATGGACATTTTGCAGACTGTTAACTATTCTGTTTTCACAGACCATTTAAATCATCCTGAATCATGGCCCTGGATGTCAAGGCTGATAAAATTGTTCCCATGGGGTTGCCCTTTCTTCCCTTTGGTTAATAGCAGAGAAGCGGTATGAATCATATAACCCCCTAGAACAAATATATCACACAGGTCCCAGATCACTAAAATATAATCAGTAAAATACAGTACTTCAACACTGAAATAATGTTATTGACTTTAAATTTTATAGTGAAAATAGCTAATATACATAGACCTACTCTCTCTTTTAAAGATAATTGTGCATATGCATGAAGCTCAGGATGCTGGAAAGAACTCAGACAGAATTAAGGAGAAACATCCTATGGTAATGTCAACAGATGCAAAAAAGCATTGAGAAAATTCAACATCCATTTATAAAAAACACTTTCAGTAAATATGAATAGGAGGGAAGTTCCTTAATCCGCTAACAGGCATCTAACGAACACTTCCATGGTCACGATAGCTAACATTGAACATTGTCTCTGAGGTGGGAAGCAAGTCCAGGATCACACCTTGGCTCACTTCTACTCAATATTGTTCTTAATGTTCTAACCGGTACAGCAAGTCTGAAAATGAACACAAACAACATAAAAATTATAAAGGAAGAGGTAAAACTGCTTTATTTGTAGATTTCATGATGGTATACAAAGAAAATCCTAAGATATCTACAAAAAGTAGAGTCACATAAAAATTTAGCAAGGTTGCTGGGAGTCAGGACAATATTCCAAGTTAATTTTGTTTCTATAACTAGCAATAAGCAACAATAAAATGAAACAAAAATGCAATTCACAATACATCAAAAAAATAACACACATAGGAATAAATTTAACAAAAGATGTATATGGCCTCTACCCTGAAAACTACAAAACTGTGATGGAGAAAATTAAAAGAAATGAGTAAATGGAGAAATATGATTAAATTGAAAGCTAAGTATTGAATAGTCAAAACTCCAAAATATTTTTGTAGATATGTACAAGTTGACTCTAAAATGTACATGGAAACACTAAGGACTTGCAATAGCCAAAACAATCTTGAATAAAAAAATAATGTTGGAGTGTTTATACTTCCTGATTGCAGGACTTACTGTAAGACTCCCGTAGTAAACACAGCGTGAAATCATAAATACAGCCATCTGAATCTGTGGTATATTATGGATAGTCCAAAAAGAGATTCACACTTAATGATCAGTTGAGTTTTTTTATTGTGGTAAAATATACATAACATAAAATTTACCACTTTAATCATTTTTAAGTGTACGGTTCAGTGGCACTGAGTGCATTCGCATTGTTGTGTAGCCATCATCACCATCCATTTCCAGAATTTTCACATTCCATAGTGGAAGGCTACATCCACTAAACAATAATTCCTCCTTCTCCTCCCCTCTTAGACCCTGGTAATCACTGTTTTACTTTCTGTCTCTATATATTGACGACTCTGAGTAACTCGTGTTAAGTGGAATCATATAATATTTGACCTTTTTGTGTCTGGCTTATTTCAGTAAGTATAATGTCTTCAAGGTTCACCTACGTTGAAGGGTGTATCATAATTTTATTCCTTTTTAGGGTCAGGTGATATTCCACTGTATGTAAATACCACATTTTGTTTATCTAGTTACCCAGCAATGGATATTTGGGTTGTTTCTACCTTTTGGCTATTATGAAAAATACTGTTATAAGCATGGGTGTATAAATATCTGTTTGAGTTCCCACTTTGAATTCTTTTGTGAATATACCTAGAAGGGGAATTGCTAGATGAAATGATAATTTTTTGTTTAATTTTTTGATGATCCACAATACTATTTTCCACAGTAGTTATATCATTTTACATTCTAACAAGCAATATATATGGGCTCCAATTTGTCCACATCCATGCCAAGCCCGTTCTCTGTGTTTTTGATAATAGTTACCCAAATTGGTATGAAGTCGAATCTCGCTGTGGTTTTCATTTTCATTCACCTATTGATTAATAATGTTGAACATCTTTTCATGTGCTTATTGGCCATTTGCGTGTCTTCTTTGGAGAAATGTCTATTTATATCTTTTGCCCATTTGTGAATTGGGTTGCTTGTGGGCTTTTTTGGTGTTCAGTTGCAGGAGTTCCTTGTATATTTTGGATATTAATACCTTATCAGATATGTGAATTACAAATATAAATATTTCTCTCACCTTGTGGGTCTCCTTTTTACTCTGTTGATAGTGTCCCTTGAAGCACAAAGGTTTTTAATTTTGAAGAAATTCAATTTGTCTATTTTTCTTCTGTTTGTTGTACCTTTTGTGCCATATCCAAGAAATCATTGCCAAATACAATGTCATGAGATTCCTCCCCTACTTCTTCTAGTAGTTTTGAGTTTTAGTTCTTACTTGTAGGAGCTCGATTTATTTTAAGTTACTTTCTGTATACTGCAGTAAGGGTCCAACTTCATTCTTTTGCATTTGAATGTCCAGTTTTTCTGACACCATTTGTATCTTAGCACCCTTGTCAAAAATCATTTATATATATATATATATATATATATATATATATATATATATATGAGTATATTTCTGCTCTCTCTGCTTAAGTCCCTTGGTCTATATATTTTTCTTTATGCCAGTAACACACAGTTATGGCTTTTTGTTTGTTTTTGTTTTTACTGTAGCTTCACAGCAAATTTTGAAATTAGAAGGCCTGCGGTGCACAGCTTTATTCTTTTTCAAGATTGTTTTAGAAAAGTGTACCCGCTGCCCCCACTTATATTCACATAGTGCTGGAAGTCCTAGCCAGGGCAGTCAGGCAAGCAAAAGAAAAGAAGGACAATAAAAGACATCCAAAGCAGGAAAGAGGAGGTCAAACTATTCCTGTTTGCTGATGATATGATTTTGTATCTAGAAAACACAAAAAGACTTCATGGAAGACTCTTAGAATTGATAAATAGATTCAGCAAAGTCCCAGTTATAAAATCAATGTACACAACTCAGTATCATTTCTATATACTAATAGTCAAGCTGAGAGTCAAACCAAGGACTCAATATCATTCACAATAGTTGAAAAAAAAATACAGTACCTGGGGATATAGTTAACCAAGAAAGATCTCTATAAGGAGAACTACAAAATATTGATGAAAGAAATCAGAGAAGACAAAAACAAATGGAAAAACATCCCACGCTCATGGATTGGTAGAATCAACACCATTAACATGTCCATACTTCCAGAAATGATTTATAGATTCAACACAATCCCTATCAAAATACCAATGTCATATTTCACAGACCTAGAAAAAATAATTCTATGCATTATTTGGAACCCAAAAAAGAGTCTGACTAGCAAAGCAATCTTAAGCAGAAGGAACAAATCTGGAGGCGTCACATAACCTGACTTCAAATTATACTATAAGGCCATAGTAACCGAAACATCATGATACTGGTATTAAAGTAGAGACATAGACCAATGGAACAGAATAAAGAGCCTGGAATTAAAACCATCTACCTGTAAACAAGTGATCATCAACAAAGCAGACAATAACATACACTGGGGAAAGGAAGCCCTATGCAATAAATGGTGCTGGAAAAACCAGATAGCCACATGCAGAACACTGAAACAGAACCCATATCTCTCACCATACACAAAAATTAATTCAAGATGGATAAAAGACCTAAATATAAGGCATGAAACCATAAAAAATTCTAGAAAAAAACATAGGAAAAACTCCTCTAGACATTGGCATAAGCAAAGAATTTGATTGAGACCCCAAAGGCAAATACAGCAACAATAAAAATGAATACATGTGACTTAAATTAAAAAGCATCTGCACAGCAAAGGAAATAAACAACAAAGTTAACAGACAACCTACAGAATTGGAGAAAATATTTGCAAACTATACATCTGACAAAGAACTAATATCCGGAATCTACAAAGAATGTCAACAAATTAGCAAGAATAAAAACAAAA